GTATTGTCAGCTTATTAAAAAAAAAAAATCAAGCGAACCATAGAAAAGCTTTGATCTCCAAACGCAGTGCAATAAAACGGAAATGCGTACAATGCAATACTCGTTAATTTATCTCTTCTTGCAAATTTGTGATATAAAAGTCAAAGTACTAGCTCTTAGCATTCAATCCTCAACTCGCGAAAAAAAAAGAGCTTTAGTAGAGGATATTGTAATGCAGCAATCGGTTCTTTTATTACTGAAAATTCGAAGTGAATTGAAGGGAAAAGAAGTAAACTTCTCAGACTCGTTAATAATTCATGACGTTATAAGCCAACCAGAGCGCTCCATTCGGGTCAGGTGGATGACTTTGAATCTCAAGGAAACGCCGTTTGAAAATAACTAGTGTTTATCACGTTTGCATCACTAGTGATAAAATTGTTCTTAATCTTCATATTCAAAGATAACTGAAACAGCTTCATACTCGACTATTTGAAACTTGACACTTCACGGTCGTTGCCAATCCTTAAAAAGGCCTACTGCCCACTTATTTTTTATATCTGGTAGACTTCAGTACTGCTCTCTCTGCGCAAAGTTCTTCTTCCTCGATTGTTTTCGGGAAGCGAAACCTTACTTCGGCCCTGGCAGAAACAATATGTAAATCACATCAAGTTCACAACGCTTTTTGAATACAAATTTGCTGCAACGCGAAAATATTGGATAATTAAAACAAAAGCTTAGAAATGGTATGAATGCCGGCTAAGTACAAAAAAATCACACTTACGAGGCATTTTAAAGAAAAATGAGAAAAATACAACATTGCATAAGTTTTTATTGTTTCTTTGGAGAAGTCATTTCAAAAACTCGTACTTCGGGTTTTATCAAGTTTCGAAACGCCTGAAAACAATAAAACCAAGAGGCAACAGGCCTCGCGGTTTGAAAAGTTTTCTCGCGTTCGGGAACCTGATGAAACCCTCGCGCTCGTTTTTTAGATAGTACTAGGAAACGATGTCGTTTTCTCGCTCTCAATAGAGCTGTTTTGCATTGCTCTCTAGAAAAACCGTAATCTCCTTTTGGCAGAGGTTGTGATCATCACTATTGAAGGAAGGTTGCAATTTTAAATTTTGCGATAAGATCACAATTTATTTGAAACAAGACAAATACTAGTTATGCAACAGTTTTTAGTGATTGTACCTATCTGGAATACGATGTCATCTGGCCTCTTATGAAGGTTACACCACAGTTAGCTCTTACATGTATTGTTGGGTAGCTCATTAATTTTTTTTCCGGCATTCATATGGAGCACGGAAAAGAAAGCATAGAACTATCAAAATTAGTTTGTTAGCGGGTATGTTTTAGGACCTATCCTATCCTATCGCCATCTTAATAAGTCAAAATTGATTGAAATCATTGCATATTCTCTCATAAAAAC